AATTGGAACGGATTTATCATTGTGAATGTGAAAGATGGACCCAATTTGATTGTGTGAAAATTACTATCTGTCTCTATGTGTCCGCCTTTTAATTCCCAGCAGGCCATCCTACAAAGGAAAAAAAGAAAAAGAAGGGAAAAAAAAGAACTCAAACAAAATTCAAAAAATAAAATGATGAAACTGTTAGGACCACAAAAAACCATGTGTCATGCGGAAGCTAGCAAAACAAACCTTGAACGACAATAAATCAGACAATAAAAGAGAAATCTACCAAAAGAGACACAAACATTTAACGTGGTTCGGTCAACTGACCTATGTCCACTGCGGAGATGAGCAATCCACTATATAAAAAAAGAGTACAAAATATCGAGAGAACAACCTCACTAAGAGGCAAACACAAGTGACACACTAACACTTGTCCCGTAAAGTTCTCCCCTAAACACGACTCTCAAACCCCATATGGCTACATTGTGGATGCTACTGAATAAGAATGATGGATCTTCAATTTATAGAGCTCAAACCTTTTCCTACAAGAAAAGGGACTAGCCAAATATGGAAGAATTATATTTTTTTCCTCTAGGAAAAGAAAAACTCAATTATGGTAAATATATTGCCCTTTCCTTTATAAGATAGAAAAATCAATTATGGTAAAAAAAATCTGGACAAACACCTAACAGAAACAAAGAAAGAGAAAAGTGTTTTGTTACATGTTCCCTATGTTTAAATTTATGTGGCGTAATTTGATTAAGTTCGAATTCTAATTTAAGAAAAGAAAAGGAAGACTCATAATCTTATAAGTTATAATTATATTTGTGCGTTTATAAAACCATGTTATTAATGGTAAAACAAAATTTTAAACCAAATTTCCGTCGGAAAAATAAAATATCAACCAATTCCAAACTTAGTAGAAATGGCATTACTATAAATAGGAAATTATCGATAAGACTAAAGTTTCACATTGGTGATGAATTTTATTATACTATTGAAAATATGAATTTGGAATAATATTTAGTACTAAACTTTAATATATTTCGCATATATATCTTCTGTTTTATGTTGAAAATATTGAGTTTAATTCAACCATTAGCCAATAGAATAGAGTACCACAACTAGCAATTCCTATTCGTACCAGATAAGTGAGTATATTGACATTAAAATCCATATATTTACTGTTTAAAAATATAAACAAGAATAAAGTGTAAGCATAAGTTTCATTTACAAAATGAAAACAGAAAAATGAACTCGAAAAATAGTCCCTAGCTAAAATAGGCAAGTACCACTACTTATGAATCCAACTAGTACAATAATTTAAGAAGTTACGCAAAAAAAAAATTTAAGAAGTTTTTATATTACACGCAAACATTTATTTGTCGCAATGATATATTTACACACCTGGCATACATTTTTAAAGACATTTGCAACTTGCAATATCAATTATAAGAGTTATTCTTAGTAATACTTCATAAGTTTTTGAGGGAGTTATTTCGGAATAATTTAGAAACTTTGGCATTTGATTTTGACTATTTGCCACATATTTTAATACCAAACTGGAGAAAAAAAGAAGAAGAAGAAGAAGAAGTAGTTTCCAAAAAAGAATGGTAAGTTTGATTCTGGTCCTTTCACATTAAAGTGGAAAAACAAATTACTCCCTCGTTTCAATTTAGTTGAGGTAATTTGACGCCTAAATTGTTCTTAGACTCCGGCAATGTGAAACTATATCAAAAATATCGACATTGCATTAGGAGAAAGACAATATTTTAGTTTTTATTTTTATCAAGAATCAAAAGCACACGTATAAAGACTTTAGTCTAGTGGTAAGAGTCGGAAGTGGACCCAGGAATTTAATGCAATGGGGGCACAATATTCTATTCAATCAGTGCCCCCCCTAAAGGCTTTTAGCGTTAAGGACTTAAGGGTGTCAAATAATTTAAATAATTTTCGAGTTATACACATATACATATACAAGATTTCTGCTGAATTTTACGGAAACCGGTGACCCCTCAACATAAGCTATATGTCTGCCTCTGGTAAGAGCACAACACATAATATGTTAGTTAGGTACATATTACGAGTTTAAACATTATTACAAACAAAGTTTGATATTTAAATGGATAAAAGTAGAGAAACAAACCCATTATATAACAAGTTTCGAACCATGTGTTATAGCCCTTAGAAATTTTTATTACAAATATAAAGAAAAAAGAATTAGAAGCATAGTTTGACTACTAACGACGAAAGTTCAATGAAATTTAGTTCTTAGTCCACTAAAAATCTTGACCCACTGAGACATTTTAATACAATAATGGCCATACTAATTGCGTGGAGGAATTGCTCACAAAGGATTGCGATAAATATAAGCAACAATAATAATATTCTAAGCTACACAAAAATTGTCGTCAACAGGTGTTACATTAAAACTATATTTTATGTCCCACGAGTCCCCTAAATTTCTTTCATCAAATAATCTTGAGAAGACGAGACAAATCAACAAGTAGGAAAGAACCAAAAATTATATTGTTATGTCTAAATGTCAATTCAAGTCTTAAAAGCATGAACCCCTTATGTTTCAACAATCTTAGGACCCGTTTGGCCATAAATTTTGTCAAAATAAATTTGAATTTTATATGGCAAACACATGTTTGGCCATAGATTTTGCCTATATTTTGGCAAAATTCCAAATCTCAAATTCCAAAATTAGCTCAAAAGCTAGTTTTGGGCCAAAATATTTACAAACACTAAGCTAGCGTTTGGACATAGATTTACTTGAAACTTGAAAAAATATTTTTTGAAGTGGTTTTGAAAAATAATTTTTTGAAGTTGAAATTATGTTTGGACATACATTTTATTTGAAAAAAAATTGAAGATTTTTTTTTCCACCCGGTGTCCGGTACCCGCATTGGAGCCCTAAAAATTTGAAGTTTTGTGAGTGGGAGAACAAGTTTCACCCAAAATCTACCCTAAACTTGAAAAATAATTTCAGAAATTTTTCAAAAATAGAGCATTAATTTATGAGCAAACAATGTTTTCAAAAAAGATTTGAAAAAAACGTTGCTAAAATGTATGGCCAAACAGGGCTAATAATATACATGTTGTTCCAAATAAATTTGGGAAATATGTTTTGAAAATATATGTTCAAACACATTTTTATTTTCAAACCAAACTTCACCCAAATCAGATTTTTCAAAACAGATTCCGAAATCTATAGCCAAATGCTAGCTTAGTTTATTGGTCGGTCGGTGCATACCTCAACTAATTCATTAAGCACATGGACGAAGCTACATTCACTTAAAGGTGGTCAATTGACCACCCTTCGTTGAAAAATTACAAGGTATATATAGGTAAAATGTTAAATTTTAGAGGTATATAACATATATTGAACATCCTTTATCGGTAATTTTTTTCACTTCGTTTAAGTTTGAACACCCTTAAAAAAATTTCTGGCTTCGCCACTAATTAAGCATATGTTATCTCAAAATCAGTATACGTACGGAGTAACTAAACCTATCAAAGTTTAGGCAAATGAAAGAACATCATTAGTATATTTTGTCTACACATACCTCAACTAATCATTATGTCCCACCGAATAACTCAGTCTATCAAAATTCATGCAAATGAGAAAAAATCGTCGGTATATTTTGATTCTATTGAGATTTAAACCCTGATTTCGCAGGTAGCTCTTCTTCTTCTTTTTTCTTAACCGTAGTCGGGCCGGCTTGCGCGTACCTCTACTAATTTCGTGGGATTCTGCCACCTCCACCAGCAACAAGTACCAGGTATCTCTATCCATCAACGCTTGATAGATGGACAGAAATTACCTAGTATTTTTTGCTTTCGCTGGAATTTGAACCTGAGACCTTATGGTTCTCACCCACCTCGACCACTAACGAGTAGCTCTTAACCAAGGCAACATATAACCTAAACCTCTCATTAATCAATCGGAAAATGTTCCACAATCTTGATTTTAATTAATTTAGATTTTGTACCCCAGTAATTTATGGCGAAATAATCCCTATAACCAAAAACCAACAAACACATTAATCTCACGTCCAAACTAGCTAACAACCATGCTCAATGTGTCCAACTAAAATTTAAGGTTAGTAGCAGTATTTCAGGACCAAGTGGCCTTTGGTTTTATAGAGAAACTTTGGAATGAAATACAGGCTGGTATATTTCAGCTTTAAAAGTCCAAAAAAATCTCTAAATAGATAACATCTCTCATCTACCTTTAGTTGTTGATATCATTTGCTTGGCAAAGCAACCAAAAAAGTACACTAACATCCTATCAAAGAAATATTGGCCCAGCAACCCATGAGACTTATCATCAATACTCTACTGGCAAATCACAAGAAAAATGGTTTTTCACATCAATAAAAACACATTGCTAGTTCCCACGCCTTAACGTAACTGATAAAGTTGTTGTTATGTAATCCGGCCCTTCCTCGGACCCTTCTGATCCTACCATTTCCCAGACCCCGTGCATTGCGGAAGCTTAGTGCACTAGGATACCCTCTTTTACTTCCTATACTACTTCCTACTATAGAAGGGGAGTATTAACGCAACTAATAAAGTTGTTGTCATGTGACCCGATCCTTCCCAGGACCCTTGTAGTCAGGCCATTCCCGGACCCCGCGCATAACGGGAGTTTACTGTGCCGGACTGCCTTTTTTACTTCCCACTACAAGAAGCCAATAATGGTGTTCAAGATTTGAACTCAAATTTGCATTAGTCAGGATGCAGTTCAGCATATAAAGAGCACATGACAACACAAACAATATATAATCAAAATATCCTCATCTTTAATCAAAAGTCTCGGATTTACAGATGTTGAAAATTAATTAGAGGAAATGACAGAACAATACGATTAGGAGTTGTAACTTTCAAATCCCAACTACAAGAAACTGTCAATTGAGCAAATGGCAATAGAGCAATCAACATATAATGTCAATGTCACAAACCACATGCTAAATCATAATCAAATTAAGTAAAAGAAGAGCCAAATATCATAAAGTTCATATCCATATCTCATTACTAATATCATCCTAATTCAAAACAAGAGAGACAAGAGATAAACAGTCTGAGACTAAACCAACACTGAGATTAAATAAACCTTTGGACTGCTCTAGTAGCAAGGGAAAAACCCAAAGGAACAACCATCTCAATTTCCTTCTAACACAAAATGCAGATAACTCAAGACTCAAAATCTCTCTTAAACAGAATGTAAACATTACTCAACTCACTCGAAAGCGATAAAACCACGGTCTCAAGAACCAAACTTAACGATTCTTAAGACATAAAAACTCTACTAATATGGATTACCTAATACTTAATACTAATATATGAATATAAAAACTCCTATTAGCTGCAAAATTATGGGCATAATGCAATATTGAGGGGTGTTGTTGTTCCATTCATCAAAGGAGCTGCAGTTGCTTCATCCATCCAAGCACAAGATTCATTGTATCCATCAAAATCAAAGTCGAAATCGAAATCAGGCAAACCAGTAGGCAATTGCTCATCACCTTCAAGTCCATATATCGGCAAATCCTCGAAATCATTAACCACAAAATCATCAAGATTCTGACCAAAATCATCACTACCAGCGAAGAACAAGTCCATCTCCATATCAAACTCAATTCCTGCACCAATCTCAGCCAATGATAAACTATCCTCCATCAACCCCAGCTCAACCTTCGCCTTTTCGTCGTGTTTGATGTCATTGACTTCAGAGTTGGAAGTCAACGAGTCCATTTCGAGTACTGATGCCGGGGAAGTATGTGAAGTGTGAGACACCAAACTCTCAGCTGAATTCTCCTCATTGTTTGAACTCTTTTCAGACACATTGCTACTAGAGTTATTATTGTTCTTAGCCATTGAGTCAAATTCGAGGCGTTTCGTTTCATAAGCTAAAGAAGCTTCTTCAGCAGTATTATAAGTACCAAGCCAAACCCGTCTACCTTTAAACGGGTCACGAATTTCAGCAGCCCATTTTCCCCATTTCCTTTGACGTACACCTCTGTATTTCCCTGGACTTAACCTCTGTTGATTCGAGCTCAGGGTTTTAGCTAAAACCCTTTTCTTTTTCGGGTTTTTTTCACCATTATTGCTATCTTGGCAAGAACTTTCAGTAGTTTCAACAGGAATTTTGACTTTGACTTTTTTGGAACTAATGTTACCAATAGGTAAATTAATTTCCCTAACAAAACGCTTGAGCTTAGGCTTGATATCATTGACCCGTTCATCATCTGATGAATCAGTCGCATCCGGATCGTTACAAACGATCCGAATTTTTCTCATGGGTTGACCCGGTTCGACTCTGTTCTTCGATTTTTGAGTTTGTTTCTGAGGCTCAAACATTTTCAAAACCCCTCAAAATACGCCCAGAAAATTGGTTTTGGTTTTATCAGGAAAAAAAACAAAAATGAAGAGATTAAATGGTCAAAACTGCAAAAATAAACAGGAAAATTTTCTGGGGTATCAAGTAAGAGGTTGTCTCAAGAGCAAAATAGGATGTAAAAATCGGTTTATATGAAATCCACCAAAACACACAACACCAGAACAAGTCCTGTAAAAAAAATCAACAAAAACCCATATCAGATCAGCAAAATAAAAAAACAAAAAAAAATCCAAATAAAAAAATGGACCAAAAAAGTCATTAGTCTAAAACCACTAGGGTTTAAGGATAAGAAAATATTACCTTTTGGGCCTCAAACGCATCGAAATATTTGTAGAAAACAGAGAAATCTTCTGCTGAGGAAAACAGCAGAGGATTTGTTGCATACACAGAACAAAAATCACTGAAAATCTTGCCGACATAAAATCAATCTCCCCTTCCTTTACACAAATAGCCTCTTTTCTTCCTTCAGTTCTTCAACCCCAGAAATAAATTAAAAGCCAGCCAAAAAAAGGAAGAAAAAAAGTATGATCAGTTACTCCTATTTATAGATAAATAAGAATAAATCTCTCTATACCAAAAATCAAAGTAATAAGATTAGGAATCTATGGCTAAAAAATTTCCCCACCCCTCAGTATCTGACAAAAGGTAAATTTCGTTACCCTTCTTTCCCTTTTGTACTATACTATCACTACAATACTATATGGGTGTGTTTTTTAGTGTGTGTGTGTGTGTTTGTAAATTTACTAGGTGCTATTTGTGTGTGTATATAGAGAAAAAACCAAAAGTGACCAAGACTTTAACAAGTCTGAAAAAATTCGCAAATCTCAATACAAAAACCAATTTAAAAAGAAAAAATTTTAACATTAAAGAATTAGAAATAGTCTGAATATGTGTGTACGTACCTGTTTTTTCTGGTCTTTCACGTCCTTTTCTTCTCTGTTTTTTAACTCTGCTACACTGTTGTAATTGTTTTTCTCTTTCACTTTTTCCCAAGTGGTCAAAATTTGCATTAAATAGAGAGGAGTTTAAGTAATTGTAGTGGGTGAAAAAACAACCAGAAAAAAGTGTGTGTAAAATGTGTGAAAGTTATTCTTGGTAAAAAATTTAATGACTGGTGTTTTTGTATGTATATATGGGATGTTAATGTATTATGAGCTGGCATGTCATACATGTCATGATATGCATGAAAATTCACAATTAGCTGACTGTCTCTACCACGCGCGTGTAGATATCGTGTGATCATTCTCCAATATAAGTGGCTAAATGTGTAAAAATGACACTTGGTAGTTGGTAGTCACTCTAAAGGATTGGTATTTAGTGGGCGTTTGGACGTAAGAATTATAAAAATTTTAAAAAAAGTAAAATATTTTTCTGTTATTTGAAAATTAAAGTTATATTTGAACATTAATATAATTTCGGATTGCTTTTTGAATTTTTGTGACTGGTCTAAGTAAATTTTGAAAAATAATTTTTTTGAATTTTTTCAAATTTTCTAAATATTCCAAAGTTTATCTTCAACTGAAAGTTAAAAATTATAAGGCCAAACAATAATTTCAAAAAAAAATTAAAAAATCTTATGTCCAAACGTGCTCTAAAATATTAGCCAATGTCTCATAATTTATAATTTCTCAGTTAAGTTTTCAAAATACAAATGTCCTGAATTATTCTTTACTAAAATTAAATTTTTAAGACAAAATAAGTACTTAATTAATCCTAAAATAACAGCATTAAGAATCATTGTTTGTGTACTTCCCCGCAAAAAGGGATTTTGTACGGGTAATATTAGGTGCGTGTGTTTCACGTAGGGAGATGGAGCGTGAATAAAGAGTGATGGCGTTACAGTTTATGTAGTGGGGTAGGAGAGTAATGCTGCGAATCCGGGGCGAGGGCCGTTTCAGATTATTAAGAGGAGTACAGCTATATTTTCATTGGACGAAATTGGGTCTGTTAAGGTTTAATAATTACGAGGATACCACTGACAAGGTACTTGGTTCCCAAGGTACCGCCTTAAAAAAGAAACAAGTTTTTTCTAAAGGAATTTGGTTGTACTTTCTGCTTTGGCTTTTGATTTTCTTCTTTATTTAGGACTAGATTTTATTTTACTTTATTTTTTCCTTTTTAGGTTTCGTTTTATTATTATATTCATGATTTTGTTCTTCATTTGGTACAGATTTTCTATACTTTAGAGCCAGTCCCTATATTCATTGAATATTTTTTGGTCAAACATAGAAATATGCCATCCCTATGTTCAAAATTTATTTAATCTTTTGAGATGTCTACAATTTGTAGAAATTTATTACTCCTCCCTTTCTAGTTTGCATAAAAAAATTCCTTGTTAGAGTAGTATAATTAAAAAAGAATTATAAGTATTTATATATGAAATGATATAACGTATAAACAATTTATAATTGATGAAAAGTGTTTATAATCATGCAAAGGTTACGATATTCCTAAATAATAATTTCAAAAGTCTTACAACTACACCAATATATCTTTTTTACGTTTAAAAGTCAAGTTTCAAAAGCTTTATTTAAAAAAATTAATTAGTCAAAATAATTAAGGCGGAAGAGGTATCAGTTTTGTCTTCAGATAATGTTAAATTAAAATGTAAGATGCAGAAAAAAAAAAATTAGGGCGGTGATTGATGAAGTAATTAATTAGATGTGTTTGGGACGTAGTTGTGACCTTTTCCAAACTCTATTGCTCCTTGAATATATTGTTCAATTAACTAAGAGCCTGTTTGGCAAAGTTTTTTGGAGGCCAAAAGTTTTTTTTTTTCAAAAATATTATTTTTTTTGAAAATTTTAGTGTGTTTGGCCAAAATAAAGTACTTTTGGCTAAAGGAGAAGCAGTTTTTCTGGTTTTGGTAAGAAGCAGAAAATTCTAGCTTCTGCCAAGAATCAGAAGCAGAAAATTAATTTATTCAAAATAAAACTATCCTCGCCAAATATACTACCATTAGATACATGAATCATGTAAACTTTTCAAATTCGTTTTTTGCCTTTTCATTGATTTTTGCTTCTTTCGCTTGAATAGTTCTTTTTTCCTTTTCTTTTTTTAGTTTCTACCATTATTTTAAAAATTAAACATATCAAATACATGAATCATTTTGTAACTTTTCTGACTTTTCTTGTTTTTGATGTTTTCTTTGACTAATTTTGTCTTTATATTTCTCTATATTAATAAATCTCTTAGAATTCTTTTACTGATAAGGAATTCAACTATTATGCTAATAAAGACATTACTGCAGAGATTGGGGAAGGAGGTGGGCCTTCTCGTATTCCTTTAGAAATGCAAGACAAGTCTTCTACTATTATAGAGGCGTTGCGTGCTAGAATTAGAGATGAAATTATTGAGAAATATTATCATGTTTGAGTGACTTTGCTTATTATTTCATGGTATAAATAACAAGTAATTGCACTAGATAATATTATTGCTTTGGTATAACTATATATGTTACAATGATTTAAATATTTAGTACGTATGTTTACTTTATGTTTATATTTTAATTAAATTAAATAAAAACTAATAACAGTCTCTTATAATAAATATTTAAATTTATTTTTCTTTTTAAAATAATTATAAAAGTTTGGTACTATCCTTTTTGGTAATGTGACACTCAAAAGTACTTTTTATAAAGATTGGCCAAACACAATTTATTTATCAAATATTGTAAAAAGTAATTCTTAAATGAATTGGCCAAACACAAATTATTATTTTTCAAAAGTACTTTTGAAAAAATTACTTTTAAAAAAAAAAAGTACTTTTCAAAATAAGCAGATTTTGGCAGCTTGGCCTAACGGGCTCTAAACTGAGTTGTGTCTATCCAAGATTTCACTCTGTCAAGGTGATCAAAGTTCACGTATTAGAAATTTCTTTTATAAATATTGGGTTCAATTGAATTAAGTATTCACACATTATTTACCCCCAAAAAAATAACAATTAAATGTGTATGCGGTTTAAAGGATACGTAATTTAATTCAATATGAATAATTAAAAACGGAAGGTAAATTAGTTAAAGATGAAATAAATAATCAAACCAATCGCAATATAATGACCAAGCCCGATCTTAGATTGAACATTGGGATTCGTCCTCGGTTGGACCTTCGATACAAGCTCGATCGCGAATGAAGAAAAGAACAAATGAATAATGCCTCGAACAATAGCTAGAAAACAATGCTTTGATTTGTGTGTCACAACGTGTGAGAGTAAAGAAAATATTCTTATTTATATAGTAGGTGAATTTCAGTCTTAGTACAAATCTAAAAAAAGGTAAAAATATTTTTTTCTACGGTAAATGTTGATCTACAGCTGATACTGAACGGGGTTCGCGCCGTAATATCCGGTTAAGGGGAATATTACGCCCTCTGCTCGTCATGCGTAACCGTTCAGCGCGTCCCCGAGGTCCATAAGCTATACTTAGCCTGGGTCTGTCATTTCGCCGTGTCCGATCTCAGATACATCGTTAGTTCCTCCCTTAATTTTGATATGAGGGGCTCCTAGGCCTCGATCACTTCAAGCGCTTCCCTTTTGTTCCTTCATCGGGGAACCGGAGAAAACTTTGCCCCCAATTTTACCCGTACACACGCGTAAAAGTTGCATCCGTCGTAGCAATTGGACGCGATGCAGATATATTCATTTTCTCAACTTAGAATAATAATGGAATTTAATATCAAATTTAAAGAAATCATGATTCCTTAAATTTATCTCAAACAGAAAGATAAAACAAAGGAAAAAAGGTGCTAACTGCTAAAGTTGGGATTACTCATTTCTAAATACCGGAGAACCTTTTATAACAACAACAACATACTCTTGCTTATTTTCGATAGACATTCGGCTCAAGGAAATTACTTTTGAAACCGAAGAACCTTTTCAAATAAAGAATAAGAAGAATCATGTGATACAGAATACTTAGCCAGAAAAAGGTTTTAAGAATTATTCTTTATTAGTATTACACTACTTGTTTCAGAAAGGCACCAAATCGAATCTTGTGCATGTAGAGTTTGACCTATAAAAGAAAAGGAACTGTCTTCTCGTGCATGAGAATGGCTAACAAATATTAGAATTATTTTAGTGATTAGCAAGATTCGGAAAGTATAAAGTCAACTTGTTGGAGAATCTAAAACCTTCCACCTATTTGTGTATACGTAATGTACTCAAAACCTTAGTATGTGATAGAATTTCTAACATTTGACGCTAAAATTCAAGCCAATTGAAAATAGTTCATGATCGTTATATTCTTCTTTGGGACGACAACAACAACAACGACGAGTGAAATTCCACTAATGATACCTGGGGAGGATAGTATGTATGCAGACTTTACCCTTACCCGAGGTAGAGAAAATATTTCCGAAAGTTATATGCTTCTTTGGGAAGATGTTGAATATAGTCATTAATTAGCCAAAATATCAAGTCTTGTCCAAGTTTTAAGTTTAGATTGATGGGTATTGAGGTTTGACATATGCTATGGGATATTGACTAGATGTAGTTCTAATCAGCGGTAGATGCAGCTAAGTATTATCGTTTTCATCTTAACTTAGTAGTTTCAATGCGTAACATAAATTTAGGTATAAAAGTTCATTAAAATTACGATAGATTAGTAGAAACGTTAAAGTTGAATTCATAAATTTAAATTCTAGATTCGCCTCTGATACACTATTTCATTTCGCAATTGCGGATGGAGCTGTTATGGTCTTCTTAAATCTTGTTGTTCTAAACATCACATGGGTTGATTTTTATGCAAGAGTATTACAGATTAAAGGTGATACATTCAAATTGCTCTTATAATTGCTTAAGAAGAATGCCTACAGC